CCTGGATACCCTAGAGACAGCTTCCCACCCCAGCAGCACAGTGGCTCCTACCGAGCCCCCTGCCCCACCCACTACAGCCCAGCACCCCCTAGTGCTGCCCAGGGTTTTGGGCCAGCTCTCACTGCCAGGGAGTGTGCCCTGAGCTGGGCCCCTGCCACAGCCCCTGGGTTTCCTTCCCTGTCTCCCATCCAAGCTATGACCCCTTTGCAGCCTGGCTTAGCAGCGGCCTTAACCCGTCCCTCGCTGAGTGGGGCGCTCACTTCCTTGGTTTTCCTGTAACAGAGGAAGGCCAAGAGACGGTCCCTGCCCCAGCCAGGTGCCATTCACACCTGGAGTCACTGCGGAGTAGGTCTGGGCGCAGTTGTCAATATTTTAGAGGAGGAACATCCCTAGTTTTTGGGATCCTCATATGCCCATGTTTGGCCCCTGCCTCATTCACTGCATCCAGCCCCCCGAGCACAGAGCGACTCGCGGGCTGGTCTCTGGTGCCCGGCACCGCCCAGCACCAGGCCGGGAGCCGCACACAAGAAGGGAGTCAGCCTCCCATTCTACATAGTGGGAAACTGAGGCACAGACATATTCAGTTCCCTCAGTGGGTTCCCAGGGGCCGGGACTGTGTCTTCACTCTGTGTTTATGCAGCGCCTGGCACAACAGGGCCCTGATTATGGCGGGGGCCCTACATGCACCCGCAACACAAGGGATCCAGCGCTATTGAGGCCAGCGTTTGCAGAGGTCTCCGCTAACTGTGAGCATCTCGGGTTGCGGGCGCTCGGCCTGAGAACCCTGAAGATTGAGACCCCTCCACTACGAAGGACACTTTTGAAAACCGCGGTGTGCTCCCATCACACAGAGTCTGTTGCTGCGCCAGAAACTGGGCCAGATCTCCTGGGTCCCAGCCCAGCACCGTGTCCACCAAGCCACCGCTTCTCCTGCAACCCCTGCCTCATTCAGCCCTGGCCGGGGCACTGCCTGGGGCGGGCGCTGGAGAACAGAGGGGATGGGATTCACGGTTCATACAAACTGGGGACAGCATTCAAGTCACCTCCAGGGCTGCTGCTCCCCCCTTGCTGGGGAACCCCCCAGTGACTCCGTTCCCATTCCCCAGCTGGGCGTCCCCTCTGCGGGGTCAGGGCTCAGGGCAGAGCCTGGCTCTGGGTGTCCCATTGGCACTGAGCCCCCGTGAGGGTCTGGCTGGGGGTGGGGCTGGGAACGGCTAGGG